GTCTCTGCTGGCTCATCTTGGAGGCAGAGGTGATGAATCACACCTGGGCTTCCTCCAGGGATTTATGAAGCCCACATGAGATAAGGAATCTGAGCAGCTTTGTCAATAGTCCTACATGCGTGTGTCCTGTCTAAATTCAATGCATGTTTTAAGCACAAGCATTTAAGTTATCTGGGAAAACAGGAAATAGACCAAACCCTCTTTTTCTGAATAATAATTTCCACCATTGTGATGTTTCCTAAAAATTCAGTTTTCATCAGCAACATGGGAAGGTGATAGCTTTAAAACACACACACACACACACACACACGCACGCGTCTCATTTGAACATGAAATTTACACCATTTCTGACAGTGAATCAGTCTTGGTAAACTTGTTTGAATCAGTTAAATACCATTGAGATATTTTTAAACATTGTTAGAATTCAATCAGCTCTCAACACGAATCCAGTTTTTGTGTTTTGCTTGAGCTTTCCTCTATTCACTGAGGAGAAAAGCTGTCCCAAGAATCCACCATGTGACTCCTTTTTGTTCAGCAATTCCATAAGGATCTTTTTTTTTTCCTTTCTAACTTTTAAAAAATACTTTAATACAAACTCTGCATCATAATAAGCAGCTTTGAAAAGTCATTTGGATTGGCAGATTAGATGTTGCTTGATGTCCCAATTCACGTGGGCGCCCAGGGGACAGAGCTGCTGGCGACAATGAGTTCCTGTGTTGGGAGCATTGGTCCCTGCCCTTGCACCTGGCACCTGACATTGGTCCTGATGCAGTGGCCTGCTGGGCTTGAGAACTCTACCTGTAACTCTCGCACCCCAAAGGGCTTATGAACGTCTGGCCTCCTGGCCCCCAAAGTGGAGGATGCCACCTTTCAGGAAGAAGGTCCATGTCTGTGGCCACCAGGGCCATCTGTTTCCACATTGTGAGCTCACAGACAGGAAAACCGCACACTGCCCGCCCGCCTGGCCTGGTGCAGCCAGGACAGGTCCTGGAAGTGCTACATGCTGCCTGGCCTCAGTCATCTCCTATTTCTCAGTGCACCACTGTCAATTTAAAATGCTGCTTCACAAATTCAGCTGGGAGGGAAAATCAACAAGGCAGTTTTGAATATAAATATAGGAAAGGTCCAGCTTTCTATGGGTGGGATTTCCACAGGTTGTCCAGCCAGCCGAGGGCCTCTGCAATTGTTAGGTTTGTTTTTCTAGAGAGGTGACTTAACCTTTGACTCCTGGCTGTCTGACAATCCAGCAGGCCCAAGCAGACAGTTCCTCCTGCCATCCCCCGTGCACGCCTGGCTGAACTATGGTGGATTAGAAATGGCTTCCTGAAACATAAACCCCAGATTTCCTGCCCAAGTTGGGCAAAGTCAGCTGAAGTGATTGCCAAAGGTTCATTTAATGAAGGCTTCTTGATGTTAGTCTTCAACCGAATTTTTGGATACCTTAGAAATTATAAGCAAGCATGATATAAATTCAGAGTAACCGGAAAATCCCCCTTTACCTCCTGTCCTGCTCGGGTGACGCTGGGGAGACATCCTGGCCTTGGCGAATCCATGTTTCCTTGTCCACTCAAAAGGATTTCTAGAAGAATCCCAGCTCTGAACTGGGTCTGCTGCGCAGGCAGTGAGCAGGCTGGCTTATAAGGGGAGTCTGTTCCCATTTCCTCCAAGTGGAAACTGCGCTTGAGCACCAGGCCTTCCCTCTATGACCAATGATTCCCTGCTGGAGGCACTTCTTGAAAGAATGTGGAATCTTTCCCAGGGGGTGGAAACAGAGCCGCATGCGGGACTTATCTGCAGGTCACCTCATTTCCTGAGGCATTCTTTCCCCTGCCACCTCTTCCGGGAGTAGTCATTGGGAGAACCTTCCCACTGTGGGAAGAAGCACAGTCGCTCCGAATGGGTGCCCCTGGGCTCCATGGCACCAACAGAGGGGCACGCCATCCCTCTTCCTATGACCTGCAGCAGCTCTCTCGCTCCTGTGACCTGAAGGCCAGCCCAGGGCACATGCCTCCTGTCCTGCCACCTGAAGCCCATCTCCCCAGCTGCACAGCCAGACAGCCAGCTAGCCTGCTCACCGGCCCCGTCAGAATCATACTAGGCCCAGGAGCTTAATTTTAAAAACTACAGATTCTTTTTTTTCCTGTCGTGGTAACCATTCACACCCACACCAAGAAAGAAAAATGACCGGGCAGGTACCAAAAGTGACAGAGGAGGAAGCACAGCGCACCACTGAAGGGCGGCTGGTGGGTGACCGTCCTACTAAACTTCAAAATAAAAATCCACGGCGGCCTAATAGTTGTGCTTTAATTTAGTTGTTTTTTTGTTCCTTTGGTATTTCCATGAACCACAGTGGAACAGTCAACTTACAATATCATTTAATTTTACCTACAGGTAGATACCCCTAGGTTTAAAAATATAAGACCTTAAAGAGTTTGCAGGAAATATTTAACTTCAATTGTGTGTCTTCCATAAATTATTAGTTCTTAAATTCCGTTGCATGAAATACTGAGCCACGGAAACCCCCAGGGATGTGAGCACACTCCGGTTGAAAGAAACTCAGTCCACTTGAAACCCAATGTGAGCAGTTGACAGTGGCACTTCTACAAGCACATGGTTACATGCAAGGAAAAGAAGCTTGAGAATGGGGGCGTGGCTAAAGACTCCTAATTCGACTCAACAAGGAAAAAATCTGATTCATTTTTTGAAAGTCAAATATTAATTTGGGTTTTTAATGAAAAAATCAGGGATTATTTCTATAAAGGGAACTCTGATATCCACAAAAGGGAGGACACATACACAACAGCCCAGTTAAATGCCTCCTTTAAAAGTTAAAAACAGTTGTCTTAATTCTGTGATGAAGTTAAGAATTAGAATAGCAGTAATAATAGTAGCTGGCATTTATTAAATGCTTACCTTGGGCCACATATTTAGATATCACAACCAGAGACTCATTCATATGGTGGCATATTCGCTCAGCAAGGGGCTACCTGGCTCCTGGTTTGTGATGTCTCCAATCACAGGAGGCTGCGCTGCCCTGCCCAACAGGGATTCTTATGTAGTTCTCACTGACTCAAAAGTAAGTCTCTAATCCCACAAGTTAGAAATATATTTCCTTCTATTAATTGATATTCTGAGGCTCAGGGAAGTCTAAAATGGTTAGCAATGGAAATGCAACAGGTTAAAAGACCAGCCAGATTTTCCTCCCAGCAGCCCAGTAACTGGTTCCAGATGGGGCAGCATGAGGTACAGTGGGCAGGAGGCCCATACTTCAAATATCTGCTCCTCATGCCAAAGACAAAGATTCCTGAAATTGGAAGCAATGTAAATCCAGGAACTCAGCAGTTCCCTAAGCAGAACTGAAATAGTGGCCACGGATTGGGCCAGGAGGAAAGGAGGTGCTGCCCAGAGCTGCTCTGCTACCACGCATCCTGGGTAGAGACCAGGAGGCACTGGAGCCAGCTCCTGGACATAGGCCTGGGCAGGGCCCCAACTTCTAAACTTCTAGCCGGGGTTGAGACAGTGCTGGGGAGAAGGGGACCTGAGCAAGCACCTGTCACAGGATCTCTCCACTGGAGAGCTGCTGACTCACTACCCAGCAGTGGGTCCTCTGGCCAAGAGGCTGGAACTCCTAGAACCGGCAGAAGGCAAGGCTGCAAGTGGAGGGCCAGCAAGAACCGGGAGTCGAGCAGTGCCAAGGTCTTGCTGGGAACAAGCCCAGGCCCCCTGGGCTTCAGAAGGAGATGCATTTGTGGGGTCTGACCCTCAAATATTTCATTCCAGCATGGGAGGCGCATTCTCAAAGCACTTGGAGCCACTGGTTTTGATGAGCATCATATTTAACATGTGTCCTAGCCATTACGGACAAGCCAACACCTCTGGCTGGGACTCTGAGGCAACAGGGATTGCAGACTCCGTGTAATTATGTCTCCATCCCACAAATGTTATTCCAGTAAGATCCTCCCCTTTGATCCCACCATTAACATCTACCCATGCAGAGTATGCCACTCGGAATGGATGACACCCAGTCATGGTGCAACAGGTGCCAACAATGGTAGCAAAACCAGTTTAGTAGGTAGCCCTTCTCTAACTCGATAAATTTTTCACTATATTTCACATTTCTTACTGAAGTAAGGAGAGATATCCAGGCAACCGAAACGCCTTTGGTGACACCAGGAATAACCACAAACATTCATGTCCAGATGAAATGGTGCTGTAAAGGGCCTCTGCCTATAAGAAGGGGCAGCCAGGACAAAAGAGCTGAGCCATTGGCCTTAAAATAATTCTGGGGCACAGCAAATCTCAAATAAGGTTATGCGTTTAGGAAATAAAGCTTCCCAGTGGCCAGGGTCATGGTGCTAGGGGTCGAGAGGGTTCCATGTACCTCTTGCGCACACTGTGGACATTCAGATTTCCTTCCCTGGCTTTCTGCAGGAAACGGAACGGCATTAAGTTGATTAAATAGATCACAAAACAGCTATGGTGTTTAAAGTTTTCCCTTTCTAAGGACATCAAAGCCATGGAATTTTGCTGTGGCCTGGTCCCCCAAAGGCATAGAATGTGTGACAGCGACACGGTTTTTACCAGGCGTGCAATCCAGAAAATCTCCTTTTCAGCAGTTCTCCCACAGCAGATCAATTTAAGAAGCAATTACCACCCGTGCAATTATGCACCTCCGTGTGCCCTCATAGGCGTCAAATGTGTGCCACCGAGATAAGGGAAGCCCTTTGGAAAGTACCCATGAGTCAGAGAAAGGAAGCACGTGCAGAGGGCGCTCTCAACAACACAGTTCAGGATCCGGAGCAGCCGAGCCAAAGGTAAAAAGCGATGCGACTACAAGTGTGAAGCCCCCTGGCCCACGGCGAGGCGTGGAGCGAAAATGTCACCCACCGACCATGAGGCCCTCTTCCTCAGGAAAACAAGCCCCACAGTGGAATCCCACACAGTCTTATAGCTAGTTAACTATACAGTGAAAAAATTAAAAAAAAAAGTTTCGTACTCACCAAGTGAAAACGAGGGCTATAGTCTGAAAAAGAAAGAAGAAGAAACAGTGTCAGTCTCCTGGAGAACTCCGGGTGTCGATGCTTCAGACAGCGTCCAGACCCAACCTCTGCTGTGGTCTCTGGCTGCCAGTCCACCAAGGGAGACCCCTGATAGGCCCCGATGCCTGGTGTCCAGCCCCTAAGACCCCCACAGTCTGCTGCTCCTAACGTAGTGTGTGTTTCCTTGCCGTTGAGGATGGCCCTGTGAGACCTGGCTGGGGCACCCTGTCTGTTTCACAGAGCCACCAGTATCCAGCCTGACCATTCACTTAGTTCTCATGTTAGATTTTTTTTTTTTTTAATTAAGGAAAAGGCTTTTTAAAGGTATAATTGACATGACAAAATTCACTTGTTTAAAGTGTATGATTCAACAGTTTTTTTAGTATATTCACAAAATTTGCAACCATCACTATAATCTGATATTAGAACATTTTTTCACCCCAAAGGAAGCCTCACACCCATTGGCTCCCAGCTTTGCCCTTCCACCTCGGCCTGGAGACACTCAGCTACTTTCCATCTCTGTGGATTTCCCTGTTCTGGACGATCCACCTAAATAGGTTCACTCAACATGTGACCTTTTTACAATTGGCTTCTGCAACGGAGCGTAATGTTTTCCAGGTCCATCCATGATGCAGAATGTGCCAACACTTTACAGAAAACTAATCTTTCATGGCCATATTTGTTTTTTTTACCCACTATTCTGTTGGTGGACACAGTGCTCATGTTCCTGTGTGAGTGGTCAGTACTGGGGCTAGTGGGCTTCTGTCCACCTGTGGATGGACACCATGCTCAGCTGGGAGTGCACACTTGCACTGATGAAGGGTGGAATCATGTTTTGATTGTTGCTGTTTTAAAATAGCTAAAGCAGTACATGATGTTTTCTACCAAAGCAGACTGCTTGTTATCTGAGTCCTGGCAAGGCTGGTTATTTTAAACCAAACACAATAAAGACTCTACAGTACAAATTATAACAGGTTGTTATAAAATAACTATATTGTTAAATTAAAAATTGACTCATGAAATAGGTTTGAAGCCAAAGAAGCAAAAGAAATAGTTGTGGTTACTAAGCGATTTTTAAATCTGCTTGTGCAAATCTATAGCTAAAATTAATCTTAATGGTGGAAGATGGATTGCTCCCCTCTCTAATAAGAAGAACAAAACAAAGATATCTGCTCTCATCACTCATATTTATCATCCTGCTGGAAATCTTAGCCAATATAATAAGAAAAATAAATAAAATACATAGGAATTAGAAAGGAAAAAAGAATAAGGCTTTAGTCTCAAATGATGTGATAGTCTGCATAGAAAATAAGATGCCACTACTAGGAAAGAAGTATCTCCTAGGAAACCTGTATAAAACAATGGGGAGACAATCTGTGGAATAACTCGTGAAATCATGGAGGGTTTCTGGGGTGCTGTGAAGCCCCACATAACATAGAGCCCACTAGTGGTGTAGAGGGGCACTCAGTATTGGGCAGGAGGTGGTCACTGGGGATTGCTGGGGATAGTTGAACTGCTTTTTTTGTAGTAGTGTATTACAAGAGTCCACCCCTCTTACCTCACAAGACCCAGGGAAGATTCTGGAAAGTGTGACTTGTGTTTGCTTGAGGCCAAGAAAGGGGAGAAGCCAGGTGTGGACATTGCCTCCACTCTCTCAGGAGGGTTGATACAAATGTTCAAACCTATTCTTCAGTGCAGTTAAATAAACCTGGTGGTAAGTAGCAGCTTTTGGAGCAGGGCAGCAAACAGAGGCAGCGAGCTCAAGTCAAACCACAAGGAAAAGCCAACCTGGCATGAATTCAGGAGGGCATTTTGTCAACAACTGGATAAATAAATGAATAAAGCAATCGACAAAACCCTGATCAAACACAGATAATTAAAAACCTAACTTTGAATAAGTTTTTTTAAACAAAGAATAATTGAAGAATGGTATTGCAAATAGATTATGTATTTTGTTCGTTTGTGGTTCATGAAACCACAACTTCAGTTTCTCTAAGTACAGAAGTAGAGCAAAACCCGAACACCTACCTGTTCCCTAAACTACACCTGACCCGAGTACACGTCCTCCCAAGGCCCCAGTGGGAATGGTCACTGTGACACTGAGCAGAGTGTTGGAGAATGTGAAAGAAGCACAGGAGAGCCATGGGTTGGGGGGGTGGTTCATGAGGGCGGGACCAGAGCTGAGCAGCCTCCTTGCACAAGCTGGAAGCGTCCTGCCGTATCCTGAGGGGCAGCATCCTCCACAAGGGGAAGGAGGGCTGAGCTTCACAGTGCCCATGGAGCACCCGGGGCTGCTCTGCCACATCTCCCAACTGTCCCAACAGGCGAGGAGACCATTGTTAAGAGGAGGACGCTGAGGCTTGGAGAGCTTCTCCACAGGTTGCAGAGCGAGGAGGAGCAGCAGGAACGGCCACCCAGCCACCCTGCTGGGCCTCTGGGGAAAGCCATCTGCATGGCCTTTCACCTTGGTTTCCTTGGGGTTTGGGTGGTATCTCTGCTCCCCCAGGGAGGTGGTAATCCCTTCAGGCAGGGCTCACTTCCTCTCTCTGGGTTCCTAGTGGCTGGGTCCTGCTCACAGGGAGGGGGAGCCCAGAAGTGCACTTTACTGAGGGCCTCAGTGACATCGGATCCTTCATTCCTTGAAATCTCTTCCAATCCTAGGGAGAGGCCACTGGGTTCTCTGCTCCATAAAACACCTGGAAGGACAGTTGTCCACATCCTTCCTGCAGGGAGAACTGGGTCTCTGGGGGTGGCCTGGCCCCTGAGCTGGCACTGGGTAGGTGGGTCCCCAGAGTGCACAGTTGCTGCCACTCTGCTTCCAGGAGCTGAACAGGAAGGAAGCCCAGCCCGCCCTGGGAAACCCTGGGAAAGCGGCTGCGACAACCTGGAATAGGGAAAGTCAGCCCCAAGAGAGGCGGGAGGGCGGGGGGAGTTCAGATAAGGAGGCAGGAGCTCCTGGAGGAGGTGGCCAGAGCGGGCTCAGCCTGGTGGCTCTGGATATGGAGAGAGGATAGGGAAGTAACTGAGGGCTCCAACTCTGCCCTCAGGTCAGAAAACAGGTCTATGGTGTGAGAACCAGCCCGTTGGAACTGTTCCACTGCAAGGAAATCAGTTATTTCCGAGACGGACAGAATGGGCCAATCTTTCCAAACTCAGACAAAAGCAAAATGTCTCTCGCGCACACCCAGGGCTAAAAGCATTGCAAGCATCTGAGTGGGCAGCATTACGGTGCTGAGCGGCGTGCGTATTTGTAAGCTTCCCTTGTTGCTCAGATGCAGATTTGCATTTTATTTAAAAATGTTTACATACACATTTCTACACGTGTAACATACCTAAAATACGAACTTTTAAATGATGCGTGAAATTTTTTCTAAAGCACGGTCACACATGATGATACTTCATGTAATTAAATAATGGGGACAAGGATCTTGAAGAAGTTCTGTGGTGAGAGATCACAACGCAGGCCACATTCCTCCATCCTGGATGTGTTCTCTTGGGCTCCCCTTTCTGCCCCCCACTGCAAAGACAGTGGGCTGGCCCGATGACAATGAATAAGAGAGTACGGGGTGGGGTGGGGGCACAGACTGCTACTCACTCCCGATCACGGCGACCTCCAAGCACAGGGACTTCGACGAGGAGGGAAGTGCATCATGTTTCTGAATCATCAGGCTTCAGAGTCTCACGCTGCAGCCCTCTGCCAAGTCTCACAGTTCCTTGTTTACCTTCCAAGCATCAGCAAAGCTGTTACTTTCTCTAATGTAGGAAAGAAAGGCTGGAAGGAGCAGCTGCAGCCGGGGTGGGTGGGAGGGAGGCCGCCCTGACATGAAGGAGTCTGGCTGAGCCTTATCCACCTGCCCAAGGCCTCAAGCCACCTTGAAAGGGGCTGAAACCTTCAAAAATAATTCTGCAAAGGCAGGAAAAAAAGTAGCCACTTCCTCAACCACGCATTCTGCCAACACACAGCAAGACTCCTAAATATTTGGCGACTTTTAGGAAGGTATTCATGGGCAGCTGCTCGACAAAGATCCATACACACCCTGCCCTCAGCACACCCCACCCCAAGCACACACAGGGCGCCTCTCTAACTACTCCACGGCAGGAGCACCCTCTTTGGATTTAGAAACAATGCAAATCGGTAAGTCAGAGGGACTCATTTTTACAAGTACAAATGGTTTCCTTACTGTTGAGTCTGTCGTCTATCTGTGCCCTTACCATCACTGTGGACTTTAGGAGCACAGTGACTCGAACCAGTTGTCTTCCGAGGGGCAGGGTCTGCTCCAGCCCCAGAGGGCACCTTAATGATTTTCTCGCCTCTTGGTGCAGGGTGTATCCACTTCTCAGATAGTGACAGTCATTGTCAGGTTTTTCTAAACAAATCTTTGTCCCATGAGCAGCTTCCCTGCAGGGGTCCAGCTTGGGGTGGTATGGACAGCTGCATCAGGGAAGCTCCTTGGAGAAGCACCACCGTAAAGCAGGGTCCATGCCAGATGCCCTGCTAAGCACAGACAGGGACCTCTGACCCCTCTGCACACTCCCAGGAGGAATCTGTTCTAGATCCGCTTTGTAGATGAGGAAACCAAGCCCCAGAGAGGTAAATCATTTGCCACAAAGTGTGCTACCACAGAAGAGTGCAATGGGACCCAGGGCTGCCCCCGCCTTCTCTGCCTCCCTGAGCTCTTAGGAACTGGCTGCACTAAGTTCCTGGCTATGCCGTTTGTCCCCCTGGGCTGCCCCTGGGGGTCTCTGCAGGACCCTCTGTCCACAGCACACTCAGCTAAGGCATGGCTCTAGGATCCCCAGCCCAGCTTCTCAGACCCTTCTTGACCTCATCATCCACCCTCCAAGAGCTTGGGGGAGATATCCCAGGGGTGTGCCACCTCCCTACGCCTTGCCCTCAGTGCCCATTGGGGTTGGGGCCCCGCAGGGGGCTCTGAGTGTCACAGAACCCTTACAATGTGGAGGATGAAGGCAGGCTCCCAAGATG